CTTTCTCTGAACTTTTACTGCTTCCCATCACAATTTCAACACTCCCAGCACCTGCACTGGCTGTTCTCCAAAGGCTGCAGTGTGTAACTGCTCAAATACTCTGCTCCATCAGGACTGAGGGTGGCAGTGACCATCTGATCAATGCCCAGCTGCTCTGAGGTCAGCCTTGCTACAACAACCAGTGTCACAGTGAGGCTGCAGCTCCAAATCCACTTCTGGGAGAGGGCTGTGCAGTAATGTGTGCTTAGGCAATACAGACCTTCCCAGATTTCACAGCAAACAGTGCCACCCACACAGTGAAAGGCACTTATGTGACAGGTGTGTCACTGTCTCAAGACACAGGAGAAAGAAAAGCCTGTGTGTTCAGAGGCTCCAAAGCTACAGCAACAGCTGCAAAGCCATCCTCAGGCTGCAGAACTGGGTCACAGAACAGGGGCATTTCTTTTACATGAGTCTGTGTGCAAACTTTTCTGCTTTGGGCAGAAGTAACTCTTTTAAAGACAAACACAAAGCATCATAGGAGAAAGAAAAGCCTGTGTGTTCAGAGGCTCCAAAGCTACAGCAACAGCTGCAAAGCCATCCTCAGGCTGCAGAACTGGGTCACAGAACAGGGGCATTTCCTTTACATGAGTCTGTGTGCAAACTCTTCTGCTTTGGGCAGCTCTTGAAGTAACTCTTTTAAGGGTGAACACAAAGCATCAACCCAGGGGAGAAGGAGCAGGAGCTGTGTTTGAGCTGTGCTACCTGGCTTCAGAGCTAACAACTCCTATGGCAATAAACTCCTGTTCCAGCTTTATCAAAGTAAGGCCAAGCCAGACTCATTCATTCTGCATTAATTTAGCAGTGGCAAGTAGGGCCCATAGTAGAGTTTTTCTACTTTTGATTTGCTCAAAGGTACTCCAGGTCCTAATTTAGAGATGCAAGAACAAATTCCAGCAGGGAAAGTGCACACTCATGCAATGGTTATGAACACAGGAATCATCTGGTGACCAGCAGCTCTCAGATCTTCTCTTCTTCCTTGACCCAGTTTGTCTCAAATGTTTTTCACTTCTTTGCTTAATCCCATTTTCCTCAATGAAAGTTAATTAAAGTTGAAGGTGAATTAAAACTGAGCAGCTCACTCTCTTCCAAGAGTGTTGGAGCATTACATCAGAAACTTTTCCCATTTTTCATGCTGACTTACATTTTGCTGCAGTTAGACTGTAAAAGAAATCTGAAATATTAGCACTTTTAGGCTGCTGGCCTTCAAAGCTGTAGTCACAACAGCTGCAACTGCAGTATGGACACAGAATAATTATTACATGAAAAGCAATTAAGTATATTTAATAGATCCTCTCATGATTTGGAGTCCAACAAAGCCCTTTGGAAACAGGAAGGAGGAGCATTCACTTGGACATGTCACAGCAGCAGCAGCAATTGTTTAAGTATATCTTCAGGGCAGTGGAGGAAGCAGCATTTCTCCTCACCTACTCATAAATCAAGCTATAAAGTTGGTGAGTCATGTGCAAAGCTACCTAGAGATGCTCTGGCACTTTAGGAAAGCTACAGGAAAAAATTCTTCAAAATTGCTTATGTAAATCTGTCCCTGCCTTTTGGGGATAAGTGACAAAATCTCTTAAGCTTCCATAAGCAGAAATGTCAATCACAATAAATACAACCAGAGGTCTGAATCAGGGATGTCAGTCTGTTTCATAAACTTCATCTGAGGCATGTTGCAACACCACATCCATTCAGTTTTCAGTTTGGAAAAATTAATAAGCCAAAACACACTTTCTCCAGGTCAGCTTTTGCACTAATGAAGTCACTTCCAGTTAGCACCAATTAGCATGTTTGGATATGGGATAGAAATAAACATAATTGTCAGCTGGGTGCAGTTCACCAAATTTAAAAAATCTTTAACCGTCAGCAAGTGGGAAAGTGGGGACAGGTGTTAAAATGCAAATGAAATCAAAGGATGAAAAAATAATTCTTTCATTTAATCAATTTATTAAGCAGCACCAAGCCCACATCCTCCCTTGCCAACACCACAGATTATAGCAAAGAAGTAATTTCAGAATATCAACAGTTCTTAGAGCAAACACACTTCACCTGTAGGCAAGAAGTTTATGCACTGCTCTTCATTCTGTTACACGTTACTACAGAATGAATATGGTATATCAAATAAATAAACCAAGGCAAATACAGTCAGTCTACAGTAATTGCAATTATATTTTGAAATCCTGAATGGTGGTAATTAGATTTTACCTTGGAAAAAAGTAAGCCTTTTTTATTGCTTCTGTTGGTTTTGGACTGTGAATTCTGACTAGTCACACCTGAGCATTCATGCCACGTTAGATATGGAGGTGCTATTTGGTATCTGTATGAAGTATTTATTAAACTTTCACTCACCGAAGAATTGCTGACTCCAAAATAAGTTTACGGAAAGACAAAACTAGAATCTCTCATTTGACTACTTCAGAAAAGTCTGTTTTCATATAATATTGTCATTAATGGTACAAAAAGACAGAAAATATGTTAAAATTTTCCATCTGATAGACTGAATAGACTTTGCTTAATTTTCTCTGTAGAAATAAATAAATAAATAAACTTCCCCATCACTTTCAATAAACCTTGTGTGGGGGAAAAAAATTAACTTTGGCTGTGCTGCACAGTGAATAATCCACTGCTGTCACTGAACTTGTTCCCTGTTATCGCTGTCCACCAATGTTGATTTTTAAATTATTTACATGACTTCCATGAGAACTTTCATGACACAGGTCAGTGCAGACCAGTTTCTCTGAAAGTAAAACCACAGTGCACAAGATGACTTCAATTTCCCAGTGCCAAGGGTCATGCCCTGGGGCCCATGACAGCTTTTCTACAAAACCAGTCAGAGGGGGCTTGTGGTTCATTATTTAATGTGCCAGAGGATATATCCATAGGATCATGACAGATTTCTAGATCTGTGTAACTTCTCTCTTACCAGTTTCTGTTTGATTAAATCGGAGTTTAACAGAATTAGGGAGAGAAATGCATAAAAATCAGGAACTGAATTCTAATTTCTTCTGGAAGGAATGAAAACTTAGATATAAAGACAGTCTCATTAACTTGATCCAAAGGTGGTACTATCAGATAAACCAAAGGTCAGGTACAACAAAAAGCCTCTGGGTCAAAGAGAACCTCTGGAGCTTAGAGGAGGGAGCCAGAACAGACAGTGATACACAAGAACTTATAAACCACCTTGGAATAGTTTCAAGTATCTCTGCAATGACTTTATTGGGTCTAAGTGCAAAGTGAAGTAATCAGCTTTTAGAGATTTCACTAGAAGCTGCAAACTCATCAGATCTATTCAGATTCAAAGTAATTCTATAGGATTTTTTAAAATTCCTTTTGGGGAAAAAAAAAATCCGACTTCAAGTTCTGTTTTTTAGTTTCTGCTCCACACATACAGAACAGCATATCATTGTTAATGTTGTATTTCTCTTAAAAAAAAAAAACCCTAAGAAAACACAACATTCAGGAACTGAGGGTTTCATCTGAAATTCACTGAAGCCAGACTTGAGTTTATACAGGTCTTGAGCTTCCCTTAGACAACAAACACAGGAAAAAAGCACACCCCTGGCATCCCTGGTGATGACTGAAGTACAAGAAGCAAACTCTGGATCTTTTCAGGTACCTTTTAAACCAGTAGATCTCCTCGGGATCTGCAATTCCATATTCCCTCAGTTTCATCACCATCAAGGAGCTCTTCCTGATGGCTTGCTCATAGCGTTGGCTACGGGACAAGAAGTTCAAATCCTCATGCTGGAAGTCAGGGTCATTAAGAACTAAGGCCTCTGGGGACAGAACAGAAGAGGAAAACAAGCTCAGTGTCCACAAACCTCAGCAGGGAGTGAGCAACAACCCAGCATTTTACCTGCTCTACCTCAAGGCAGGGGTATCAAAAAATTGAAAATAAAATTGTAAGTTAACAAAATGAGAATGAAACCAAAGCTCTCTGAGAGCTGCTGGCACTCTCATTCCACACATAAACTCCATTTTCAGTTCAAAGCACTCTGGACTCGGCAGGAGGGCAATTCACTGATGTAAGAGCAGCAGGTCCCTCAGCAACAGCCCAGAGGCTCGGGCAGCCTCGTGAACTCTGAACCCCGTGCAACTCCAGCAGAAGGGCACAGTTATCATCCCCCCCTGTGCCAGCTGGAAAACAAGGTGCCCAGGGAGCACAGACTTTCTGTGTGCCCCCTTTGGCAGCCAAGTTACACAACAGCAGCCCCTGACAGGGAAGAGCCTGGAAGTGGCTCATTAATCTCTCACAACCACATCGCGCCGGCTGACAGGTGACATTTGCACTGTTGGGCAAGAGCAGGTTAGGAAGGAAAAAGGCGGTGACAGAGCCCATGAGAAATGCCCATGGGAAGCCGTCTGTGACCCTCTGGAGGAAGGGGACACAGAGAAGTAAAAGGACACTGCTCCATCAGGGAGCATTAAATTCATTCTGGGGAGAAGAGGGGGACGCAGCTCCTGTTACCCTTCCTTTACTGACCCTCCACCTGCAAACCCTCTCCTCACAGCTTCCTCCCCTCCTTGGGGTCCCCACAAAAGCTCCTCCACACCCCTCCCGCCCCGCGACCCCCTCACAACTTGGTGGCTCCTCACTCCGCACCCCGCTCTCCCCGGGTGTCCCGCACCGCGCAGCCTCTCCCCTCCCCGCCCCTCACACCCCTGTCCCGCTCCGAGCCCCCACCGGGGCTGTCTCTCCCCGCTCCCCCGGCCCGGGCCCTCCCTCACCGATCTCCTTGCGGCGGCGGGTGCGCTCAGGGCCGCCGTCCAGGATGTGGGTGAGCAGCTCGGGCTGGAAGGTGGCGGCGGCGCGCTCCCTCCGCAGGTCCGCGTTCACCGACATCGCGGCGGCGGCTCTGCCCGTGCCCGATCCCGATCTCAATTCCAGCCCCGATCCCGATCCCGATCCCTTCCCGTCCCCGCGGCGCCGGCCCCGCCCCCGCGTGACGTCACCCCCGCGACGCCACGTGTTTCCTGAGCACGTGGGCGCGTCCCGCGGGGGCGATGGCGGAGCGGCGAGCGTGCCTTCCGTCCTGATGGGAGCCGTGCCTGTAAATCGCGCTGTGGTGTGCGTGGAGCAGCGCTGCGAGGGTGCCCGGCACACGCGGCATCGGTATGGAGCTGCTGATTAAATGAACAGCTCGTTAAGTGCCATTGGCGGGTGCGCTCGGCACGGTATTGGGTAGTTCTGTGGATCTGCGAATAAAGGGCTGCGCTCGGGGCTGGGCCTGCTGTAAATCTCTCTGCAAGGTCCTGCGGTGGAGCTGGCGCATGCATTGGGTAGCACATCGGGTGGGCGCAGGGTGTGTGGTGATTGGGGTATGGCTTTTACAAGCCAAGTGGCTCCATGCGTTGAAAAGTGCATTAAATGCACGCTGAGCGTCTTGCATCCCTGGCTGATCCACCTCGCTGCACAGCGTGATTCAGGAGCAAAACCCGAGCGGTGCAGGACAGCCTTTGCCCTTCTGGAGGTGCAGAATTGCCCCTGCTTTTTGAATGTTGGATGCGGCGGGGCTGCAGAGGGCGGGGAGGTGGCTTGCCACCCTGCCAGAAGGATTTTTCAGCTTTTCAGCTTGCTCTGAGTGCCCACAGCCTGGCGTGGGACTGTGGGGCAGCAGGCCGAGAGGGAGGCATGTGCAGGGGTGCCCTAGTTTCCCCAGCCTCCCACAGAGTCCTCCGTGGGGCATTTTGCAAGGTGACAATACCGTGAGCAATGCATGGGGTGGGGAAGGAACACCAAGCATTAAAGCCATAGCATGCATGTCAGCTCAGTGTCCCCTTTGGGGGTCCTTGAATGCCCATCGGTGGACCCACTTGTGTGAGTGGCAGGACTCCCTGCCTGGGCTGTTGTGCAGCTCTTGGCGTCCCCCACAGGGAGGCAAAAAAAATCTGAATGTTGGATGCGGCGGGCCTGCAGAGGGCGGGGAGGTGGCTTGCGACCCTGCCAGAAGGATTTTTCAGCTTTTCAGCTTGCTCTGAGTGCCCACAGCCTGGCGTGGGACTGTGGGGCAGCAGGCCGAGAGGGAGGCATGTGCAGGGGTGCCCTAGTTTCCCCAGCCTCCCACAGAGTCCTCCGTGGGGCATTTTGCAAGGTGACAATACCGTGAGCAATGCATGGGGTGGGGAAGGGACACCAAGCATGAAAGCCACAGCATGTGTGTCAGCTCAGTGCCCCCTCTGCTGAGTGATCAGTGTTAGGCGTCCTTGAACGCCCATCTATGCACCCACTTGTGTGAGAGGCAGGACTCCCTGCCTGGGCTGTTGTGCAGTTCTTGGGGTCCCCATCGGTGGACCCACTTGTGTGAGTGGCAGGACTCCCTGCCTGGGCTGTTGTGCAGCTCTTGGCGTCCCCCACAGGGAGGCAAAAAAAAAAAAAAATTAGAGAAAAGCAGTAAACGAAGCATGGAAACATTCCAAACACAGGCAGCCTGCAAGGGAGATCAGAAGGAAAACTATGCCAAAAAAAACCACTTCAGGGCACAGGCGGGAGCCGGGCTATGGCATTGACTGGGCAGGGTTAGAACTTTGCTGAAGCTGCTTTGCATTCCTGCCTTTCTGTGTGCTCTGTGCTGTGGCTGACTTGCTTATGCCAGCCCTGCTCCAGCACAGGAGCTCCCACTTGAGCGTTGCCTTGGAATTAATCTTTCTCACTCCTCACTCTCTGCTAAACCCTGCCAGACTTCTGATGAAACTAGGCTGGTTTGGATCCAGTTTATTGTTCTCCAGCTGCAGGATCAGACACTGCCAGAACTTTATGCTGCAGTAAGAGAACAGGCTTGGGATCATTCCTTAAGTCTTGCTGCATAGTGCTCTGTCACCCCAGCAGCTGAGGGTACCCCAGTATCTCAGTCCCTCACACTCTTTGAACTGCTCAGTCACCATTTTCCCCACTTCCTTAACTTTTCTCAACTCATGCCTAGCCTGGGGGAGACCCAGAGGACCTGGTGGGCTGCCTGTAGTTCATGCTGGGTTGTGTGGGACTAGGCAGCTCCTCTTTGTGCCAGGATGCCCTGAGCTTGGCATATGCAGTGAGCTGCAAATAGGACTCAGCAGGGAAGCTGTGAAGCTCTTGCAGCCCCCTGGGTGGTGGAACCTGGGCAAGGGAGGAGTTGAAGGGCAGTATCACTTACAGTTTGGATCAGGTACTGCAGAAGCATGGAGTCATGCCTTTGGCTTTGCTGCAGGTCAGCCGTTGTGTGAGATGCTGCCAAGTGCTGCTGTCTATTACTTCCCCTGGGAGATCAACAGCTCAGTCCCTGAGGGGAAGACACTGAGGACGTTTGGCAGGTGAGAAGGGTACCCTGCTCTCCTTGCAGGCCAGGCCTTTCCTTCACTGACTGAGCACCCCCTTTTGGTTTGTAATTGGATTTCTGCGCAGCTGAGCTTCCCAAATTGATCATTCCCAGGTTATGCTCCTATGACCTGGCCCGATCTGAAGCCATTCTCACCACGCAGCACAACTCGGCTCAGTACCAGGTCTGTGTTGACACCAAGTTTGTGGAGCCATTCCAAGCCCAAGTGGGATCTTCCTACATGGTCCTGGGAGAGGCTGAACACAGGGAAGGTAAATGCTCTGGGAACTGGTGCCCTTTGCTGCTCTTCATGGTACATCAGCTCTTTTGGGGCTCCCTGAGTCACTGAGGGCAGCCTGGACCAAGGCTCTTCTCGTGCATGTGATTCAAGGTAGGAGCAGCCTGTCTGTCCCTGCTGACGATGAGAAGAGCCACCCTTATCTTGGTGAAAATCTGGTCCTCTGGCACAGATTTTTTTAGAAACGGGAAGCATTTCAGCCACATTGCTGGGCTTGTGAAATTGTGAAACCTATGCTAAAAAGCCTTCTGGCATCACTGCCAGCCACCACAGCAACTGTCTTCACCCCAAACATGGCAATACCTCCTTGCAAGTGACTAGGTTGCTCTTTGCCATCCTTGAAAGGCTCTAATAATATATTATCCCTGCCCTCAGACATGTGAGGAATGCAGGCAGACACTGTCACACAGGGCACCCTGTTGTCCTTTCCTGGGGTGCCCTGTGTTCCAGCTGCTTGGTGCTTTGTGTGGGGAGTTGATCTGAGCTGAGCCATGGGATGGTGAAGCAAACTGTTTATCTTGGCCACACCTGATAAAAAGCATTTGCATTCATGCCATAGAAGTCCTCAGTGGCATGTGGAAAGCCACACTTCACGTGGCCCCTGGAGAGTGGCCAGCTAAGCCACTGCTGCAAAATTCCTTTAGAAAATTGTTATTTTGGTCATCCTAGCCTAGGAGGAAGTTGGCCCCATTTTGCAGGGGTGGAAGGGGAGCACGCTGAGATGGTGGCTGTGTCACCAAGGTTTGGCCCCTTCTGTGCAGTTCCATGTTGCCACTTAAATGCCACCAATGAACTGCTGGTTGCAGTTGGGTTTGAGCCTCTTCTAAGCCCTCTTGTCTGCACAGGGGTGTTCAGAAACGAGCTCAGACCCACCACTGCTGCTTTTCAGCCAGGGAAAACCAAAATGCATCCAGGCACAAAGTAGACAGATGGCAGGCACTGGCACTGTTCCCCAGTGCAAGGAGAGGGCAGTGTCAGTCACCAGCATTTTGCAGCCATCAGGGCAGAGGGAAAGCACATCACAGAATTAAGCTGCTCCTGCTGTTTTCATCAGTGGCAATATGCAGCCAGTCTGGTTTCCTGAAGTTCTCAGGCTATGATTATTTGCCCAGCTTGACTCATATGTTGCCTTAGGGAACTCTCTGTCTCCAAGCTGCTCTATTTTCCTTTCTCCAGAAACTTCCAGTCCTGTGGTAAAAGCACGAATATTGACCTGCGTGGAGGGGATGAATGTGGCCCTGCTGGAACAAGCCATCCAGGAGCAGAGGAAATACTTCAGTGAGAGGCAGGAGCAGAGGGAAAGCAGCACATCCTGACAGCAGCTCTGAGACCAGCCACACGCTGGTCCTTGCACTACCATTTGCAGCAAATATGTTCAAAGTAAATTAGGGTAATTTAGTAAATTTGCTGTGGCAAGCAGCAAAGTCACTGAGCAGGGAAACACTTTGAAGACTGAGTCAATGTGTGTGACTGTGGGCTCTCCATTCCTGCCCCAGGTGTCATGACTGAAAATAGTTCTGGGAAGCAGGTTTGTTGTTTGCTTGAAAGGGTGGTTAAGGAAAGGGAACACTTGGATTACACTGCTTCTTTCATAATGCACAACAGGAAGAAGTCATCTCTGAATCTGGAGTTAAGCAGCTCACCTTTGGCAGATGGGGGGAAAGGGTATTAGCACAAAGTTCATTAGCCCTGCCTGGCTGTGGGCCCATGAGTGCCTGTGTTGGGGAACCCTGACTCAGCTGCCACACAGGAACATTCCTGGCAAAACACTCACCTATCTGGGCTGACCAAAGAAACAAGAAGAACAAAGAGTCACTATTTTCAGTAGCACCTGCCTCTTCAGGTAGGAAGAACTGGTATCTAAGGGGAGGATTAATTCAACTCTAAAATAAATATTTGAGTACTTGACTTTCTTCCTTGACACAGCTAAGTTTAAGAGACCTGAAATCACTGTTTTTGAAGCATCAAAAGATTTTGATTGACATTTTCCTAAATAAAGATGAAAAACTAAGGCAGCCTGTCTTTTATTGATTAAATCCCTCTTGCTTGCCAAGTCAGATGTGTTAGGCCCTGTACAAACCCTATAGATGATGTAAGAAAATTCAGTTTTTCTCCTAAGTACTGGGTGTGTGTGGAAGTGGCTGGCTTTAAAAAGGTTGCAAGAAAAGGAGATTAAATTACATCAGAGCCACTCTGGTTGAAGAACGTAGTGCTAGGCCCACACAGCTGTATTAAACCATTGACAAAAGGACAGAACATTGCTAATGTCACATGAGAATCAAATGTTTGTGCAAGGGAGGGAATACTCCTGTAGTGTAGAAATCCCCAAATTTGGAGTGAACCATACCTGTGTTTTGCAGGGGAATGCAGCCATCTCCAGCCTTTTCTGCTTGCACTCAAAGATTTTCAGCTGCTGGCTCAGCAATGGGTTCAATCAGCCCTTTTTTAGGGCACCTAAAATTGGGGTCTTCCCTGTGGACCCACACAGCTGCAATGTTCATGCCCACCCAGAGACATGGAGCCCCCCAGTCCTCCAGATGAAATTCCCTACGGCTCTGCCTTTCCTGGTGCCACAATACATAAGATAATTTTAATCTTGTCTTCTGCCAGCTATCAAGTCAATGATTAATTCCCCTTCAAGGACATCTCCTGAAAGGCTGACTGAGCAGCACAGCCCATGTTGGGGAGGTTCAAGGGACAATTGTGCAAGACTAAATAAAAGGGGAAAAAAAAAAGACAAAAAAAACCCCACAAAAAACAAAAAAACCCACACAACACAAAAAATCCCCAAACCCCAAAAAAGCCCCACAAAAAACCCTGACAAAAAACCAAACAACGACAAAAAAACCCTACAACCAAAAAACACCAAACCCAAAAAAAGCAAATAAAAAAACCCCACACCAAAACCTCCCCCTTCCCCCCAGCCAACCAAACAATAAAAAAGACATTTCTGCTGGGTGTTTGCCCTCAGCATGTCCCAGGAGCCATAATTATTAACCCAATTACTCCACCAATGCCCAGCACTGTGCAGCTGGGCATTGGTGAAGCAATGGAGCGGGAGAGCTTCCCCTGGCCCTGTGCAGTTCGTGCTGCTCTTCCTGAGGCCCCCAAGTACATCTGTACATCAATTTTCCTCAGTTTTTGTCTGTAACCAGCACACTGCACAACCTGGGCAGCACAACAACCAGCGCTGTGTGGCTCTTTTGTGGTTCTGTCCACCTGAAGCTCCCTGAACACCTCAGAGCCCACCAGGCCGCCCTGTCCCCTCACAGCTGCCCCAGGCAGGTCCCTGAGGGCTCCCTCAAGGCTGAGGGAGAACCAAGGTGGGACCCAGACCCCGGCAGCACCTGAAGAAACACTGGGGGGGCTCAAACGCTTTCCCCACGTTCATCTTTGTGTTTCCCGCTTTTTTCCCTCCCCTCAGAGCGCGGTGCCAGCCGCCGCCACTGCCACCGCCTGAGGCGGCCCCATGGAGGCCATCCAGGCGTCCTTCCAGAAGGTGGAGAAGATTGGGGAGGGCACCTATGGCGTGGTGTACAAGGCTCGCAACAAGCGCACGGGGCAGCTGGTGGCCCTCAAGAAGATCCGCCTGGACGCGTGAGTGGGGCAAAGCCCTGGGCCTGCCATGGTGCCAGGCCTGTGCCCAGTATGGTGTGAGAGGCACAAAAAAGCCTCACGTGAGGGGGAAAAAGGTGTCTCTAGGATTCAAATAATCTTATGTATTGTGGCAGAGAAAAAGCAAAGCCAAAGGGAATTTCATCTGGAGGGCTTGGGGGCTTCGTGTCTCTGGGTGGGCATGGCAGCTGTGTGGGTCCACAGGGAAGACCCCCAACTTTTAGGTGATCTAAAAAAGAGCTGATTTAACCCATTGCTGGGGCAGCAGCTGAAAATCTTTAAGTGTGAGTGTTTAGGGCCTGACCCGGGTCCACAGCACAGGGCAGGGGGAAATGGCTGCCATGTTGTGAGGTAATATCTCCCTCAGGGCTGTGCTGTGGGGGTCAGGAGGGTCAGCCGCGGCCCTCCAGGGTGTACTGAGCAGGTAAAAGCTTATTTCTGTTTCCCTGGGTCATCCGTGAGCTGTGTGCACAGTGAGGGGTGTCTGCCTGGACTGGGAGCCAACATGCTGGGGCTGCACCCCATGGTGACCCCTCAGCATGGGGGATGTGGCTGCCTGAGGGGCAAAGAGCTTTCATTTTCCCCCACCTACAAAAAGAAAGACCTAGGTAACTAATACATTATCTCTTCTCTAAATGCACCCTTAGGTGCTTCCAAACAAGCTCTGCTGCAAGGCTTGCATGTCTAGGTCAACACCTCCTTCTTGCCCACAACCCCATTTCCCCCTGCCTCACCCCAGCCCACCCCAGCCACTGCTCCACCCCGAACTCAAATGCTCCCTTGGGGTACAGTAGAAGAAGGAAGGGACACAGAGCCCCACTGGGCTGTGGGATCCCCCTGGGTTATGGGGTGCAGTACAGCCTGTCTCTGCCACAGGGAGTCAGAGGGTGTCCCCAGCACTGCAATCCGAGAAATCTCACTGCTGAAGGAGCTGAAACACCCAAACATAGTCAGGTAAGACCTGGATACACCCTCTTCACCAGCTCATCCATGAGCTCCTGCTCTGGGAGCAGGCAGCAAGGGGGTTTTTCTGTCCTTCCCCAACTGACAAAATACACAGCAAAATGCAGGAATCCCTTACACTTCCCTGGCTTTCAGCAATACTTCATGGGTCTGCCACTTCACTAACACACTGCTGTGCCCCATACTAGATTCTGCCCTTAAGCTGCCCCTCTCTTCTCCAAAGGACCAACAGAGCACAGGCATGTGTGGGAGGAGGGATGTTTGGGTATTTACAGAGGTTTGGAGCAGATATTGAGGGGACAGCCTGTACTTCTTTTACAGGCTCCTGGATGTCATACACAGCCAGAAGAAGCTCTATATGGTGTTTGAGTATCTGAATCAGGACCTGAAGAAGTACATGGACTCATGCCAAGCTGGAGAGCTTCCTTTAAGCTTGGTCAAGGTACAGCATGGAAGGATTGCCAACAGGCAGGGCAGACAGCATGTCCCTGCTGCCTTCTGCTGGGCAGAGGCACCTCAGAGCTGCTTAGACTGGGCTGGAAATGATTCCTCAGCCTCCCAGATCTCAAACATTTCAGCTGGAAAATTCTCTTGGCACTATTGCTCAGAAATGTTTATTTCCCAGCAGTTTCCAGGCTCTCCAGCCTATCTTGCTGCAGAACAAAGGAGGGATCTGTTGCTAATTGCCTTTGTAGACAGTAATGGGTGGGTGGAAGAGAAGGATAGTGCCTGGACCAGAGTCTCTCTGTGCCCACGTGGCATGGCAGCAGTTTGTGTGTATCTCTGAGTAGTGGCCCATAAGTCTGATGTTGCACTGGAACAAGGGCTTTCTTTCCATTCACATCTGTAAGAGATCCAAAGTGCGTTGGTTCACACAAGCCAGAGTTCAAAGTGTTTTCATCATGGCCTATCTGAAATCTCTTCTCTCCTCAGAACTACCTTTTCCAGCTGCTGCAGGGTGTGAGCTTCTGCCACTCGCACAGGGTCATCCACAGGGACTTGAAGCCACAGAACTTGCTCATTAACGAAGCAGGAGCAATCAAGCTGGCTGATTTTGGACTGGCAAGAGCCTTCGGGGTCCCCCTCCGCACATATACTCATGAGGTAGTGTTGAGGCTCCCTGAGTGGGGTACAAAATCCCGAGTGGGAGAACAGCAGCAGCACAAGTTGCTCATCCATAACAGAGGCATAGCCATGCCAGGAGTGTGCTCTTAACCTCACCTGCAGCTAAGGGACCTCCATGTCCCCACAAGGTGTGCTGACTGTCTACTGGAGTCAGCCTGCCAGCTGGGCTCCCACCTTCTCTCCACAGGGTACACTTAATTGTTCCAGAGCGTGTTTTTGAAGAATGTTCTGTTAATCCCAACCTTGCAGGCACTAAAGCGTTTGTAAATTCAGCAAGGCCTTAGCATGCTCTGATTTGTACAGTCACTCCATTACAGCTGAGAAGGGAGGGTCCCACACCCTTGGTTTTATCCAGGGAAACCAGACACAGTTTGTTTGTTTCTTGGCTCCTTTACAGGTGGTGACTCTGTGGTACCGAGCCCCTGAGATACTGCTGGGATGCAGATACTACTCAACCCCTGTGGATATCTGGAGCATCGGCTGCATCTTTGCAGAAATGGTAGGATGGGTTTAAATAATCTCTTTCTTGAGCCAGAGGAGGCAGCTGCACCTTCAGCCTTATTGCTGCAGCATTTTGACCCTGGGAGAAGATGACTCTTCCAGATGTCCACATGGTGGGCTGAAGAGAACAAGCACTCTTGTGGCATGGCAGAATGGATCTCCTAGGGGTCCATACTCCTCTTGGAAGAGCTGTGGTTAGCCCTGCAATACAACACTACTTTTCCTCATCCCCAAAGTCCTGAGCTGCAGAGCAGGCAGGACAAATAGCCAAGAGTGGGAGCAAGCAGTCAGACACCTGTGATGTTCGCAGCCCCTGCCTGGCAGAATCACTGCATTGTAACTGCCCTGGTGTGTGCAGTTGTTTGCACCTGCTGGGACAGAAGGCTGCTTGCAGCAGGAAGTAGGGCACACAACTGATGGAAAGGTGGGAACTGGCTTTTTCTTTTCTTCCCCAGATGACCAGGAAGGCCCTGTTTCCAGGGGACTCCGAGATAGATCAGCTCTTCCAGATCTTTCGCACTCTGGGCACTCCCACCGAGGTGACCTGGCCTGGTGTGACCCAGCTCCCTGACTACAAGGGCAGCTTTCCCCGGTGGCCACGGAAGGAGATGAAGGACATTGTTCCAAACTTAGATCGAGATGGGAGAGACTTACTGACGGTGAGTGAGGGCTCAGAACAGGGCCTGGGGATAGACAGGACATTTTCAAACTGGGCAAGGAGTAGGGATATTTGAGATTTAATTACCTGGAAGTGTAGCTGATCTGGGTTGAATGCCCACCTTTGACAATGCAGAAGCACCAGTCATGGAATAGGGCTCAGTCTTACTCTGAAGAAGGACCTGTCATTGCAGGTTCCTCTAGGAACCACTGCATTGGGAGTCAAGGAACTCTTCTAACATAATCCCCAGAGTAACTTCAGTTGTGGGTGACTCCTGGAGCCCAGAGAAGGAAAAAAGCATGACCAACATCTGCAACTGGGCCCAGCTGTGTGCAGGTGCAACCAATCACCCAATTTTTAAAATCCTAAATCTGCTGGGTTTTTCTCTTGGCAGCAGTTGCTCCTGTATGATCCCAGCAAGCGCATCTCAGCCAAAGCAGCTCTCAACCACCAGTACTTCCTCTGCAGAAACTCTGGGAGCCCTGAACAGCCGCCTGTGCTGCGGAGGGACTGCAGATGACAGGACACAGCTCTCCCCAAGCTCTTGCACCTCCAGGTAGCACTGCAGATGTGGTCTGGGGCACTCAGCAGGGGCCTGGCTGGATCCCAGGGTCTTGCTTCTTTTGAGGAACCTGGAAGGGGACATTCTTGGCATTTAGAGACTTTCAGTCTGTTGCTGGGGGAAAGTTTGGGTTACAGCTTGGAGAGCTGTTTTGAAGTGGTCATTTGCAAAAGGTCAGAATAATTTATCAGCATAAACCACTGAAATGTATAGAAAAGAGTGTTTCTCCAAGGTTTGTTCTTCCACTAGTAATCTAAGGTGACACACAGTGACTTCTGTCTCCAGCACTGGAGCATCCCCAGGTCTGTTGGTGGCAGTTGCTGGCATCAGGGAAGGGGAACACTTCTCTGCTCAGCCCTTTGCTGCTGTTATCAACCAGGCTTCTTAGCACTAAAAAAGCTGTTTAGTCTGAGCTGTTTAATAGAGCTGACATCCTGCACCTTCACAAGCTGAAAAGCACTATCAGGTGTCTTAGTTTGTGCCTTAGCTGTGACCAAGAAGCCAGAAGATCCAGTTAGCATAAAAGCAGATCCACTTAGGATAAAGCACTTGCTGCATATGACTGGAAACAGGGACCACCTAAACCACTGGCTTTCCATCATCATTCCAGCTGTAATGCTGTTTCCCTTTGCTTTATTGCCTTGGAAATGTTTTTTGCTGTTCAAATGTTTGGGGGATTGTCTCTGACTCTTGGTGTGGTGTTGACATCTTAATTCCTTTTTCTTCAGTATAAAATAAATATCATTTGTTCAGAAACCTTGGTGTTCGTTGTTTGGCAAAGCCCATCAGGCTGGTAACACAGGACAGCCTGGCTGGTCCTTTTTTCCACAGAGCCTTTCTCCCTTCCTCACCTCCTGCACTCTTTCTTTTATCCTTTCCAGTCCAAATCCTTGTCAGGTGCAGAGATGTGCTCTCAGCGATGTCGTGGGACTGGTGACAAAAGCGTTAATCCAATTTCTGCTGGGTCTGTGTACTTTTAGCAAAGAAACAGGAGCTGCTTTCTCATCAAGGACAGAAACTTCCTCACCTCCTGCACTCTTTCTTTTATCCTTTCCAGTCCAAATCCTTGTCAGGTGCAGAGATGTGCTCTCAGTGATGTCGTGGGACTGGTAACAAAAGCGTTAATCCAATTTCTGCTGCATCTGTGTACTTTTAGCAAAGAAACAGGGTATGCAGGAGCTGCTTTCTCATCAAGGACAGAAGGAAGATAAGGGGAAGACATCTGCCTTAGGAATGCAGCTATAGCCAAAACAAGATTATAGAAAAAACGGAACCTGGGAACATGGGGAAGGTTTTATGGTAATGAACAATTTTAATACCCACGCAGTGACTGTATATAAGCAACCCACTTGTAATGAATCGTGTGCACGCCAGGTGGAGCTTATCCCCCGTGCACCAGGCCTGTGATAACTTATTAACGCTGCGTTGGTGTTAAGGGGTTTTGTTTGACCCGCTTTTCGGAGAATTTCGGTGAAAGTTATTGGCCACCCAGATAAGGAGCTCACCTCTGAGCCTCGGCGGATCTGCAGTCGACAGATCTCCAGCCGGCACCGAGGGGTTCTCGGGGAGAACCTCGGCCTCAGACCGTCAGGGGCTCGAGGTGAGATCCCTGGGGTGAGTGAAGGCATCGTTTAAATTGTTTATCTTGGGGTTATTGACCAGGGGTACGAATCCCCTCACAGAGTTACTGGTGAGGGGTTTGAGTCACCCAGCAGGGTTCAAGTCCTTGGAAAGCTCACTGTCTGGGGCTTCGAGTCCCCCAGGACTACTGGACTTCCAGGACTAGGGGGTTCCAGTTCCCTCCGAGGGGTTCCCCTGGAGCAGGAAACTTAAAGCAGTATTGTAGCTGGCCGAGGAGAAAACAAACAGGCTCGTAAGACCGGAGCCAAAACATTGCTGTAGCCGCTTTGGTGGTGGAGTTCGCTTAGATACTCTGAATTCTTTTTGGTCTCTGGCGGTGTGCGTGTGAGTGGGTTGTGTGTTGATTTCAGTTTGCCGGCCTGTAAAATCAACACTGGGACGCCTGTGATATAAAACTCGTTAGCTGGAAGAGTGTTGAAACTTAACCGACTGTTGGGGTCTCGAAGCAATCGCGGGGTGTGTGCTATCGATTATTGATTTGTTTTCTGTGCGCGCCGCTGAAATCGCATTTGTGGACGCCAAGCGCCCTCTCGTGTCATTGCGCACCGCATTCCCGGAGAGTGGGAGCGGGCGGGCGGGCAGGGGCACCCCCAGTTGCAGCTCCGCCGTTCCCCGCCGTCATCTCAGCTCGAGGAGGAGGAGGAGGAGAAGAGAAGAAGCCCAACAGACTCGCAGCACAACAGCCCTGCCCCGGCCCGGCGGGTTCTCGCCTGCTCCAGCGCCCGGGCAGCTCCAGCCCCCCGCTCGCTGCAGCCCAGAACCAGCCGCGGGGGCTCCCCGCGCCCAGGTAATCGTTGTATTCGCTTTCTGGCTGTTGTTATATACTTGTATTATTGAGTATGGGGGCGGTTTGTTCTAAAACTAGAGTGGGAAATGATATCCCGAATTCCCCGTTGAAATGTATATTGAACCGCTGGGAAAAGATAGGGGGAGGCTCGCTACTGAAATCCAAACTAATCCAATATTGTAACCACTGGTGGCCGCTGTATAAACTGGACAATCAGGCGAAGTGGCCCGAGAACGGCACCTTAGACTATCACACCATGTTACAGCTGAGGCTGTTTTGTAGAAGAGAGGAGAAATGGAGTGAGATGCCTTATGTAGATCTGTTCTTTACTTTGAGAGACCATCTGGAGTTGCAAAAGGGGTGCCTACCCAGCCTGTCAAACCCTCTCATGTTAGCTTTTGGAAAGGAAGAGGAAAAGGATAGGAGATCAAAGCAATGTTGCTCCCTTTGTAGTATTGGGCACCACTGTTTGAAATGCCACAGCCAATGGGAGGAGGATGATGATATAGAAATGATAGAGGCACCGGATGCAGGAGACAGGGGCAGAGAGAATTGGGGTGTGCCTGATAAGGGGAAAGCACAAGGATGGGATGAGCAGTCAGGGGGGAGGCAAGAGTTAATTTCAAGTCCAGTGGTGGGGGGAACCCAGGGTGAGCAGGAGGTGAGAACACAAGAGGTAGGGGAGCAGGGGGTGAGAAACCAGGAGTTAGGGGAGCAGGGGGGGAGAATGCAGGAAGGAGGGGAGGAGGGGGTGAGAAAGAAGGAGGGAAAGGAGCAGGGGGTAAGAAAGCAGGAAGGAGGGGAGCAGGGGGTGAGAATGCAGAAAGAACGGGAGCAGGGGGTGAGAAAGCAGGAAGGAGGGGAGCAGGGGGTGAGAATGAAGAAAGAACGGGAGCAGGGGGTGAGAAAGCAGGATGTAGAGGAGCAGGAGCTGAGAAAGCAGGAGAGAGGGGAGCAGGGGGTAAGAAAGCAGGAGGGGGATGAGCAGGAGGCCATAGCTCAGCTCTGGGCAGGGGTGGGATCTCACAGCCTGGTAGTGGTGAAGGTACCTTTCTCCCCAGTCGATCTCGAGGCATGGATGAGACTGGCAGGGCCCTACAGAGAAGATCCAGAGAGAGTATCTAGAGTATTTGAAACCATTCTCAAGACCCAGAACCCGGATTGGGGGTTTATACAAGTTCTATTAGATACCCTATTAGACTCCACAGAAAGAGAGATGGTACTCAGGACTGCTAGGAAAGAGGTGGACAGGATAGGAACAGCAGGTGCGCTACCAGGAACTGTGGAAGAGCATTTTCCCTCCCAGGACCCCCATTGGGACCCTAACACAAAGGAGGGGAGGGTTTTTCTGGGACAATATCAACAATGGATATTATTTGGCTTTAGACACGCAATGCCAAAGGCAATCAATTGGTCTAAACTTTATGAGGTGAAACAAGAACCACGTGAGACTCCAACTGCATTTGTGGAACGCCTAAGGGCAACTGCCAGGAGATACACTAATATTGATCCAGAAAAACCAGAGGAAGCTGTACAGCTGGCTTCCATTTTCATAGGGAACTCAGCACCGGATATTAGAAAGAAGTTACAAAAGCTGGAGGGAGCAGAGTCTCGTGACCTGGGTGAACTATTACAAGTGGCCTGGATAGCTTTTAATCATAGGGGAGAAGAGGAAGAAAACAAGATCCGGGAGAGAGAAAAGGAGAAGGAGCAGAAAGAAAAGAGACGCGAAATTGAGTGGGAGGAGCGGAAAAAGAAATGGGAAATGGAAAGGGAGGAGAGAGAAAAGAAACGGGAGGTGGAAAGGAAAAAAAGAGAAAGATGCAGGGATGCAATGCTGAGCGCAGCTCTGCAGAGAGCGCTGTTCAAGCGCCGGACGGAGAGGGGCTCTGCCCGCGGGGCGCTGCAGCCCAACCAGTGCGCCTATTGCCGGGGACTGGGCCACTGGAAACGGGAATGCCCCAAGAACCTGAAAGGGCCCAAGCGCGCCGAGCTAGCCCTCCATCAGGAATGAGGGGAACCGCGAGTGAGAGCCCCACTGAGCCCCTGGCTACAGCAGAGCTGGGGGAAAGAGAAAATTTTCTTTCTAATTTTTTATTATATTATATTATATAAACTATATATCTTGACTTATATATATATATATATTTAGACTTATATATATATTGACATATATATATAGACTTTCCAGTAGTTTATTATATTATATAAAAAATAGTTTATTATATGATAAATACTTATTCGGTATTAAATACAAATAATGGAAAATTAAACCAAGGAACTGTAAATGTTGTTGGTGCAACAGGGAAAGAGGAAAACTAAACATTCTTTAACCACATTAACTTTAAATTCGGCAAATGGTGGATAACACACCAATTTTTACATATGCCTGAATGTCCAGTTCCTCTGTTAGGAAGAGACCTGCTAAGTAAATTGGAGGCATGGATTTTGTTTAAACATGGAGAAATGCAATTATTGGTGCCCGAGACTAAAGCCATCGAGGCAAGGACTTTAATGTTGCAGGCAACACTGGAACCAGGCAATTCTGGAGGAATACCAGAAACAGCATAAAATGCAGTAAAACACTCTTGACTTGCACCAGTGGAACTCCAGGCCATTCCCAACAAGCTCAGCCTGTAAGTGTTACCCTAGAACCTGGATGAAAACCAGTAAAGCAGAAACAATATCCTTTATAGTTAGACTTGATTCCCCTCCTAGATACTAATAGAAAATGTAAGGGAATTTGGATTATTGATTTGGATTATAGATACATAAGTCAGAACACTCCCATTATGCCAGTTAAAAAGCCTGGGATGAATACACAGGTTGGTACAGGACCTGTGAGCAATCAATCAAATATTTCAGGATATACACCCTGTTCTAGCCAGTCCCATTACCCTGTCAACATCCCTTACAGAATATCACCAATGGTTACAGTGATAGGTTTGAAGGATGCCTTCTTTTTCATACCTCTTGATGAGCAAAACCAGGGCATTTTTGCCTTTGAAAATCCTCAAACTGGTGGGAAGACTCAGCTTATGTGGATTGTGTTACCACAAAAATTTAGAAATAGTCCAACGATTTTTGGGAACCAACTGACAAAGGAATTAGAGACCCGGAAAAAAGGAGAACCCTGAAGGGTTGGTCCTGCAATATGTTGATGATATCTTACTAATGAAAAGTGCATGGAATTGACTCTTAGTCTTTTAAGTTTCCTAGGCCAAGAAGGTTACAAAGTATTTTGGGAAAAAGCTCAAATCATGAGGCAGGAA